AAAAAAAAAAAAAAAAAAAAAAAAAAAAAAAAAAAAAAAAAAAAAAACCAAAAAACACATTCCACTTGGTTTTTATTTTTTTTAAAAATTTTTTTTTTCAACGTTTATTTATTTTTGGGACAGGGAGAGACAGAGCATGAACGGGGGAGGGTCAGAGAGAGAGGGAGACAGAGAATCGGAAACAGGCTCCAGGCTCTGAGCCATCAGCCCAGAGCCTGATGCGGGGCTCGAACTCACGGACCGCAAGATCGTGACCTGGCTGAAGTCGGACGCTTAACCGACTGCGCCACCCAGGCGCCCCCCACTTGGTTTTTAAAGCAAACTGAACAACTACTTCCAAATAGCCTTAATTACCTGGATCCCAACAGTCAAGTACTGTTGTTAAAGCGCTACGGAGAAGATCAGTCCAAGCAGTGTGACTCTTTTCTGCTCTGGCCATGGGAGAGGACAATATTCCTTTCAGAGCCTGTAGGGAAGCTGCAACAGTTGAAGATAACTGGCCCCCAGGTAACTTCACAGCAGTTTCTCTGAGGACCCCAATTGTAAGGTACAATATAGTAGGGAGAATTGAGATGCTTCCTGTAAGATACATTTTTAAAAACACTCTGTGTTTCAGTCTATATATACAGTTCCTAAAAAGAAATCATCAATGAGTAAGGCACTGTCAAAGATTTCTAGCCTTTAAGACATTTTTCATAAAGGATTAAAACTGTTAAGATAATTTAGGTAGGGTTAAGATTTTTAAGACCGGATTACATTTTGGTTGTAATTGAAAATGTTATTTAAATTGTGTCACAGTTTCATCATCTTTTGCTGTCTTACTTGGTGGTTGACAAATGGTGAATTTATTTTTATTTTTTAGTGTTATAAAATACAGATAACATAAAATTTATAATCTTAACCATTTTAAAGTGTACAATTCAGTGGCATTAAGTACATTCACAATGTGCAACCACCGCTAGTATCCACCTGAATTTATTTTATATTAAACTCTTTTTTTTAAGGAACTCAGTACAAATTAAACATTTCATGGTCACTAAAGAGTTAAACAGTTAGTTATGTTTAAAATGAGATTAAAATTAGAATGGTAAATTTTATGTTTCTAGAGGCTACTCAACAGAACTCTTATGGTGTACTTTTATCCCATATCTTCTATTAGTCACTTTTGCTGCCACTCTTGGGGCAAAGCAGTATGTGAGAATAAGGAATATAGGTTTTAATTCAAATTGAAACTAAAAATCATGTTAAAAATTCGATAGCACATAAATTGATCAAGACATGTTTAAGCAAAAAAAATGCTTACCAATTAAGAAATCTGTTAAGTACTAAGTATGTATTAAATTTCCTGAAGGATACAGTATTTCATTGGAAGCAAAACATATTTGTTTGTATATAAGTTTTTCTTTATACTTAATAACCAATTATATATAATGTCTCTATATGATACATAAAACCTATCTACATACAGAAGCAACATTATACACACACATATACACGTATGAAAATGCAAAACTCATTACGAGCTGGAGTTTTTAAGGAAGCATTTACAGGTGACATAGGCCTGGAAATGAACTTCAAAGGAAGGCAAATTATAAAAAAGGGAAGAAGGGATGGGCCTCTTCAGATCATGGACAATAGCACAACGGTGAGGAGCATGAAGGAATCAGGAAGAGACAATGATTCAGCAGAGCCCTATGGAGCCTTAAATGCTACATTAAAAGTATGGACTTGATTTTGAACTGATGACAAATTTCTGTCATTGAGACAGGAAAATCTGTTATGTATTTTTTACCAAAAAAAAAAAAAAAAAAAAAAGCCTAAGAGCTAATCATTGCCACTCACAGGTTAAAAATATTGTCAACCAAAGAAGAGCATTACCTGTCTAAAGTCCATGCTATCTCTATATTTACCTTCACCCTTTTAGTAAAACAAATTATGAGAATGCATTGTTAATCTTAGAGGATTAAAAACATTACCAACCAAACCTTTGGGTCGGCATTTGTTTAATGAGAAAAGGACTGGCGACCATTATCTCCTTTATTTATTAATACCATTTCTCTCCTTCCAGGTCAAAAAAAGCAATCACATCCCACAGCATACCTTCAGGAGAGCACACTGCAGGGAGTTCCGAGAGGATAACTAATGCCGCTGACACCAATCTGCTTCCATCTTCTGACAGCACCTGTGGCTTGGTAGCTTTTACTCCTGGGCTACCTGTTAATTTAGGATTTAATTCTGGAAGCTGTCTAACTAGAATGCATACACACAATTCCAGGGTTGCAAAAACCAAAGATTTCCCAGGCACAAGTCCTCCTGTGTCCTTTCCCTCTCCAAACTCTGGCAGGGTTTCCTTTTCAGCAGCCCCATCATCAACTAAAACACAGAAAAAACAAGTGTTGAATAATCACTCTGTGTTTGCTTTGCTTTGGGTTGATGGCAATTTCATTTCTGCTGTAGGTAAAACATTTAAATGGCTAAAGTCTTGGGTGTTAAAGACTGAAAGAGAAGGTTACAAAGGTAAAAGGAGTTGTCTTTATTATGACTTCTTACTGCAGAGGATCAAAAAAATTCTGTGTAACCCTCTCAGCCTTAAAACATTGTCTGGTTAACACCTTGCTGTTAAGAATGTGAACCTGACAGGTCCAGGTCCAGCTCCAGTGCCGACCAGCCCAGGACTGCCTGACTCTGGGGCTCCTTCTGAATGACAGAATAAGTCCTTGTGTTTTAAATGCACTCTTAGATTGAGTTTTCTGTTTTATGTAGTCAAATGTAGTATTAAATGATAAACTCATCAATACCAAATTAGACTTATAAACAAACAATTTAATTACTTTGCAAAAAGTCAGTCATTAAAAAATTGTCAGTAGTTACGGGGCACCTGGCTGGCTCAAGAGGAAGAACAAGTGACTCTTGATCTTGGGGTCATGAGTTTGAGCCCCAATGATGGGTGTAGACATTACTTAAATAAGTAACTTAAAAAAAAAAAAAATTGTCACGGGCACCAGGGTGGCTCAGTCGGTTAAGCATCTGACTTGATTTTGGCTCAGGTCATGACCTCACGGTTCTTGAGACAGAGCCCTGTGTGCGCAGAGCCTGCTTGGGATTCTTTCTCTCCCTCTTTCTCTCTCTACCTCCTCTGCTCATGCTCTCTCACACACACTCTCTCTTTCAAAGAAATAAACATTAAAAAAAAATTGTCAGTAGTTCTTCTGTGTACATTGGTAAACACAGCTAAAGTAAGTACTTAATATAAGGGATATTTTCTCCCCTTCCAGTATTTTGTTAAAATTCTCATTTTCCCCAGGAATAGTGGTTTGGCTACTGACAATACCCAAGCTAACATGTAGAGGTGAATGAAAAGACTTAAAGTTATACCTAGAGAGGTTTTACTTGTACTACACACAACATATTATCAGAACAACACAGACTTGAGAAGACTTTAAAACATAATGCTGATTTGATTATAGTAATATGGTTAATCTGGCATTATGGGTTAACATTCACCTTCTGCACTTCGTCTTTTCTCCTTGACATGTTCTTGAGCTGCACAGATAATCTGTCTTACCACTTCAAGTGAAGCCAACTGAATAGAAGGTGATTCTCGGGTCAAAATTACTCGATGTAGTACATTCAACAACTCGATGCCCAAGTCCTATCACAGAAAACATTTAGGGGAAACTGTAGTGGAAATCACATACTTTCTTTTTTAAAAATACCAACATTAAATGCCATGAAAAAATTGAAAAAGAGAATATAACAAATTGTTCACAAAGAATAAAGGTGTAGGTAAAATAAAGTTAAGTAATACTTGTTCTACTTTAAACCAACTCCAGATTGGTTTTTGTCCAATCTTGCAGGACATGGCACTATGACAAAAGATCATTTTTACACAGGTCCTAAAGTGGGAACATGGAAAGGGAAACTTCCAAAACAAGATGAGAAACGTGACTAAAAGAATTCAAGCACTGCCATCTAGATTTCCAGACCTATACTGAGATTTTCTAGTAATAGCAACAAAGAATGATGGAGAAGGATGACATTAAAAGTGATAAGTTAATAAGCATACAATGGACATCTTTCTCAAGAATATAATACACTGGACAAATATTCTCTCATTTTCCACTTTTCTCTTCTAGTGCTTACTCTGTTGGCTTTTTTTCATCTTTGAAAATAACAGAGTAAATCTGTCATTATTATACTTGTTTTAACATACAGAATAAGCAAGAACAAAAAGCTCACAATTTATTTAAGTATAATCCAAGTCAGGTAGGAAGCTGATAAATAATATAAACCTAATAAACAACAGTGTTAATAGGTTAACTTACAGTCTACATAGAAAATTCATAGTTGCTCTTGGGAAGTAAGTTAAAGGAAATGCCATACTTTTACAGTGGTCCTATTATCATGCTCACAACTGGTTAAGATATTAGTGTTTGACTCCACCTACAGGCTATCCAGTAGTCTCTAACAACCAGGAAGGAGAACTCAGGCAATGGGAATATTCTGTAACAGACGTAACTACATGAACCAAGTAGATTCTCTCTTGGGGAAAGGGAATAGAAGATACAGATGTATATAAAGAACAGGGTGCACCAAAGCAGAAAAATACAAAGAGGAAACGCCACACGGAGCTAGTGGCTACTATACTGGCCATTAGAACATAGCTTCTTCCCATCATGATTGCTTAAGTTCAACTGAAGAGCTGCTATAATGAGTGGTTAACTGGTGGCAGCAGAAATCAGCACAGAAGAAGCAAGGACAGAAAGTGACGTCAGAGGCATGACTGCTCCTGGCTCAGTACAGTCGCTGACAGTATTCCAGTTCTGAGACCTAGCTGGACAGAAGTTTAGTTTTCTTTTTACTTCTCTGTGTTCATTTTCTGTTTGCTGTGGTAACCTGAACATGTTTGATTCCTGTTCCTTGAAATCTACAGAAGCCTAACAAAAAACAAGAAATCACCTGATCACTGCCAATTTTAGATCTGGGCCAAGGAACATCAAGAAGAGCCTGTAATGCATGTAAGCAAGCAGTAATGCTTTCCATGGTTGCATCTGAGCGTAAGGAACACAGAAATTCCACACTGATTCCTGTAGAAAACCGAAAAAGAGAAGGAGGCTTCTTTGAGATCCTTAGTTTATGAAGTTAAGGAACTCATTTTATATTTTGATGAGATATATAAATAAGCTTAGCAGAAAGGTAATATAAACAAACCACAATGAATTTAAGAGTAAGCCATTAAAGGGTGCCTATGTAGCTCAGTCAGTTAAGTATCCGACTCTTATTCTCAAGGTCGTGAGTTCAAGCCCTAGGATGGGCTCCGCACTTGGTGTGAGCCGACTTTAAAAAAACAAAACAAGACAAAACAAAACAAAAAAACACTAAACAATTAAGTGATAAAGCAAGTCTTCTTTGTTAGTTGTTTTTATCCACAGGTACATGTAGAATAATCTCAATTAGGCTTGTGTACTACTGCACAGTTGCTATGAAATAGTTCAAAGATGCAAAATTATAATAAAATTATACTAGAGAACATGTAGTTTGTTGTTGTTGTTGTTGTTGTTGTTTTTTAAATAGGTCCACATACCAATGTGGGTCCTGAATTCATGACCCCAAGATCAAGAGTTGCATGCTCTGCCAACTGAGCCAGCCAGGAGCCCCAACATGCAGTTGTATAACCTTAACCTTACTAAAAGTGAGTGATTATCATGGATCACTGTATCTTTACATCTACCATTTCATTTCATTCTCATCATAGCTGATGAAGTAGGTGCTATTTTTCTTTGTTAAGATTTGTAAGTAATCTCCACACCTAACATGGGCCTTGGACTCACAACCGTGATATCAAGAGTCTCATGCTCTACTGCCAGCTGGGCACCCCAGGTACTATTACTAACGCTCTTTTTGATAGAGAGATGAACACACAGAGCTTAAGTTATTTAATTGGCTCAAGGTCAGTTACAATGTGGTACATGAAGAATTTGAGCTGAGGTAGTCAAACTGCATAGCTTATGCTCATAGTAACTGCCCTTCTTTATTCTGAAGTTTGTTTTTAAAAAGCTCTTATCTCAAGGCAAACGGAAATAAAGTTTAATATACCCAAGGATATAGGAAATCTGATCATGTCCGGCCTGAGAAGGAATAATAATAGAAGTTTTCTGAACCATAAAGTTTATTTAATCATTTATATTTGTAACCCTTATATTTTATTTAATCAATAATTTCTTTATAGGTAATGAGCTAATGTGTTGTTTTCTAAGAACTAGGTAAAATATGAAACATTTCTTTCATTTATTCTAGAGACTCACTGTATCTTAGAAAGATTATTTCACTTTAAAGATGAAGTTCCTCAGGGTGCCTGGATGACTCAGTTGGTTAAGCATTCCACTCTTGATTTCAGCTCAGGCCGTGATCTCATAGTTCGTGGGTTCAAGCCATGAGTTGGGCTCTGTGCTGTGAGTACAGAATGTGCCTGGGATTCTCTCTCTCCTTCCCTCCCTCTCTCTCTCTTTTTGCTTCCCCCACCCCCTCACATAGGGGCTCTCTTTCTCTCAAAATAAATAAATAAACTTTACAAAATTGAAGTGCCAGGAAAGCGAAAGAATGGATTAAACTTCATAATCTAAAAAAATGTCATTTATCTTTGACCTTAAATATTTGCTTGCACTTTTGTACCTTTGAGTATACTTGAACCTTGTAATTCTTAAGAATGCAGATAGGATCCCACAGTGGGGACAGGTAGACTGCCTCAGTATATTGATATTTTTAATATATACAGAGAAATTTAAAAATTTTATAATTAAAAAAAATGTTTATTTTTGAGAAAGAAAGAGAGAGAGAGAGAGAGCGAGCGAGCATGAGTGGGGTAGGGGCAGAGAGATAGGGAGACACAGAATCTGAAGCAGATTCCAGGCTCTGAGTTGTCAGCACAGAGCCTGATGTGGGGCTTGAACTCATGAACTGTGAGATCATGACTGGAGCTTACAAAGTTGGATGCTTAACTGAATGAGCCACCCCGGCGCCCCCAAAAAATGTATAGATCTACATGGATCTTTTAAAAATTATGTACAAAGAACTAGGATTGTCTTATAATTTCTATAATTCATTCAACATGATGCTGAAGCCAGCCTGTAAATGGGATTCTAGACTTAATGACATCTGCAATTTTGTAAAATGTATATAAGTTCACTCATTTATATCAAGGTTATCACTAACACCTAACAAAGATGAAGTAATCACCACGAAGAGTTGATAGGCAGTGAGGCACAATTCAAGAAAAACTTTGTAGGGTTAGAAGATTGTTAGTTCTTTTACTGACCTAAAATAAGATGGAATCTATCAGTGCAGACATCCTCAGGTGACTTTACTGTAGCCCCAGATGATGAACCTTGACACATAGAAGTAGGTGTTACAGGTCTTGAAAGATGAGATACTCCTTCATCTGGGTCAGCAACCACAAAGCCTGTGCTGGTAAGCCACAATGCTGTAGCATGCAGGATAAGTGCCCAGGAGTTGTAATAATGCAATTTTGCATTTTCACTAGTCTCTGCTGTGTAGAAAGCACCGCCTACAAAAAAGCAGAAGCAGTTTAAGGAGGAATAAAAGAGATTAGCTCCTACTACATCTTTTGTCTTCTTTGTTGTAAGATAACAAATCATTCCTATCATCCCAAGTTTCTTTAAGGAACTTACATGTGGTGTGTATTTGAAACAAACATTGCTGCCCATTTACTTACTTACAAGATTAATATAAACATTTTGCCTTTCTTAAATCATTACTTATAAAAAAAAAAAAGAAAAAAAAACCTAGAACTTAGTTATACCACTAATTTTTATCCCTCTTTCTATAACCAATCTCTTCAAGTCAGTGTGAAATCACTCCCACAATAGATGTTTGTATTCATAAATAATATGTGCTATTATTTTGTGTTTAACTTTACTTAAAAGACCGCATATTGTATGTAACCTTTTTTTTATTTTTGAGAGAGAGAGAAAGAGAGACAGAGCACAAGCAGGGGAGGGGCCGAGAGAGAGGGAGACATAGAATCTGAAACAGGCTCCAGGCTCTGAGCTGTCAGCACAGAGCCCGACTCGGGGCTTGAACTCACAAACTGTGAGATCATGACCTGAGCTGAAGTCAGACAGAGCCACCCAGGTGCCCCATATGTAACCTTTTTTAACTTGCTTTTTTTCACCTAACTTTATGTTTTTGAGATTTACTTATGTTGATTCATGCCTGTCATTCACTAGTGGCTGACAACTATGGCAATAAACCAGTTTATTTCCATTTTGATGCTACTGAAACCACTCCTATCTTTTTGTGTATAATTCCAGGTAAAATTCTAACAGGAGTTGGCAGGCTGATTTAGAATTTATCAAAGAGTAAAAACAAAACAAAACAAAAAACCAAAACGCAAACAAACCCCCACACACAACATTTTGGAATAACATGAAGAATAAAAGTGGCTACCAAATATCCAATCCATAAAATGCAGTATTAATCACTGACTACAAAATTAGATGTTATCCCCATTCCATACACACAAAATAAATCTAGCTGCACTAAAGCCCAAAATGTAAAAAGCAAAACTGTAATGCTTCTAGTCTTTATGATCTTAAATAAAAAAATCTATCAGGTATTACACAAAACCACAAACCATAAATGACTGATTATATTAGTTTTAGAAAAATAAAGAAAGAATAAGCTATAGACTTGGGAAGCATGCAATCATAAAGGAATGATACTAAAGTTACATAAGAGATTAACAAGCCAGTAAAATCATGACAAATACCAAGTAGAAAATGGACAAGGCCTATGACTAGGTGATTGATGGAAGAAGAAACTTAGCCCATAAACCTATAGAAAAAGGTTTTCAATCAATGAAAAAACAAAATAAAACAATGAAAAACTATTTCATACCCACCTAATGGCAGAAATTATCAAGTATGACAACACATAATGGTAGAAGATGTAGTGAAACAGAAACATGCTGTTGGTGGGCATATGAATTGTTTTAACTGCTAGCGCCCCTGAGTGGCTCAGTTGGTTATGCATCTGCCTCTTCGTTTTGGCAAGGGTCATTATCTCATGGTTTTTTGAGTTCAAGCCCCTTAATGGCATCTGTGCTGGCAACATGGAGCCTGCTTAGGATTCTACACCGCAACCCCCCACCCCACCCCTTTCTCACTTGCATGGTCTCTGTCTCTCTCAAAATAAATAAATAAACTTAAAAAAAATTGTTATAACTGCTTTGGAGAGCAATATGGCAGTATCTTGTGAGGTAAGATGTGCATGCCTTATTATCTAGAAGGTCAACTTCAGGGTATCTAGCCTCAAGCAACACTCACATGCTGAGTCTATAAATGGAAATTATTCTACAGAAAATGTTTCAAATAAATATTACTTGCTAAGGGATAAATTCTGAAAAGTTACTGTCACTCTAGGAATTATGTACATCTATTACAAACCCCTTACCTTCAACAGGAAGTTGGGAAGCAAATTCTGAAGGCAAAGTTAAGAGAGCAAAATCCTGAAGCGCAGCAAGCCAGAGCCTACTAAGCGTGCCCAGGTCTGTGTGAACCAAGTCAAGGAGTCCATCTGATGAATATGACCCATTTCTGACACTCTCTTCTGAACAGGTGGTAGTCTTCAAAAGTTGTCTGTGGCTTTTATGTCTTTCTACAGCAATTATGTAGACCTGTTAAAGGGTTAATTTGTAATTAGGAAGCTCTTATACCCATTGAAAAGGTGCTAAAATATTTTTATCTTGCTGAGGAGACCAACCTTACTTTTAAGCATACTGTACTTCAAATGCACTCTGATACCAAGGTATACACATGTAGCCACACATGCAAACTGGGATAGAAAGATCTAAAAATATTCTCTTTAATGGGATGCAACTAGGGATAGCAAATGCTTGACAACTATGCCGCCATTCTGCACTTTGACATCCCTGAAAGCTCCAACTAAATGATCACAACACTCTTTCTCACTGAGTCTAGTTATAGCCCTATAATCCACCTCAATAAATGGCTTCAGATGGCCATTTCTGAATGGCAATAAGCTGAAATACTAAAAATATTCTTTCAAAGTTACTTCTAAATCACCATAAAAAGTTTACATAAATAGAATCAAGATGGACTGTTCATACGACTGTAAAATGTGAAAGTAGGGGAGCCCCAGTGGCTCAGTCAGTTAAGCATCTGGCTCTTGGTTTCGGCTCAGGTCATGATCTCACTTTGTGAGTTAGAGCCCACTTTGGGCTCTGTGCTAACAGTGTGGAGCCTGCTTAGAATTCTCTCTCCCTCTCCCTGCTCCTCCCCCACTCTTGTGCGTGCTCGCTCACTCTCTCTCAAAATAAATAGAGATTAAAAAAAAAAAGAGAGGCCTATATATGTTTTAGACATTATTCCAGAAGTAACATGCAAAGAAGATACTTTATTTTCGTTTCATGGTAAAAGAGCTAAGTCTGAAATCTGTTTTTTTTTATGGTCTTGAGTTTATGAATGCTTTTCAGGGTCTGCTGGTAATGGAATAAATTTGATTTTGATATCTAAGAATTTCCTAAAGATAGATTTGTAATAGACAAAGCATGTTAAGTTACACATGAGCCTGCATTTACATTTTGAACATTTTGAAAGCACAATTGCAGTGTTACTAAATTGGAAGCTACCATAACAATAGTTTCTAGATGACCTCAGGGCACGTACAAGTAAGTGAGAAATGTTTACAGATTCTCAGACCAAAAAAAAAAAAAAAAAAAAAAAAAAAACAAGAATGTGAAAGTATTCAACACAGGATATAACATGTACTACCCCTTTATCTACAATTCCGACATCTAAAAAGCACTGAAAAATACTTAATTTGGTGGCAAAATTGACTGAATTTATTTGAGACGATTTATAGTCTCCATTCAACATAGTGTGAATATTCAAACATTTTACTACATCAATGTGCTTGATTATAGATTCTATGGTATTGCTTCAATTTTTTGGAGGGATACATGGAATATGTACTGTATTACTTTTCAAAAATTCACCAAATTCTGAATTCCAAATGTATCTGGCTCCAAGGAGTTTAGATAGGAGATTATGGACCTTGGTTGTACAGAATCTGTTCGCCAGTCATTATTTTTACTGAGGAGGGAATGGGAGATAAGGGGCTTACACAAGAGCCCAGAGATTAAAATTATTATAAAGAACACTGCATAAGCAGAGAATTATTTATAAAAATAGGTTAGAGAGATGAGAAAATTTGTTTGCTCTACTAACAGCAAATGTTTAAAAGCATACAGAGTTTATTGTTAAAGATCATTAGTTCTAGGCAGAACTACTTCCTAAAGAAGGTTTGTCAAACCCAATAATGACAAAAATACATGGACTCCAATCTTCAGGTTTTAATTTGCTCTAATGGAGGAAATGTTTTTTTATATATTGGTTAATTCTCTCAGTTGCAATCTGAGACTATATACCTTCATTAAGATGATATATGAACTGAGGCTGGCCAAGCTTGGGAACTGCTGAAACCCCAATGATGTGTATACATGAGCACATTATATTATTCCATCTACTTTCGTATGTGCTCATTTTCATAGTAAACCTAAAAATTATTTCTCTTTCTTCCTGATTAGAACAGTAAATAAAGTTAAACATTTTCCTATAAGATTTCACTAATTTTGGAAAAGAAAATGACTGTTATTTAATAATTAAAAGCTATTCTGTGAAAGAGCTCTAAAAAAACAGTGAAGTATGTACAGAATTGGTATAACATACAAGCAGACCCACACTTCCAAAATTCAGATGTCAATAAAAGTTGATTTCCACTGGTTATTATAAAGTCCTTGCAGCTCATGGTTGCCCCTGCCTAAAGTAGCAGATAACAGGCAATAAAAGATATTTTAGAATGCTTGGCTAAAAAGTCAATTAATATATAAAAAAATCTCATGTTGAACATCTTTTCTTAACCTTAAAAATGGACTTACTGCGTTTTAAACAGTCAATTTCAATTTATAGCCTACGGTGTTTATTAACAACTTCTAAAATTCCAGTTATAAATGGAGAAGCACACTAACCTCTGCCCAGGCTTTCAGCACAGCTAAGATCTCCATGGTAGAAGCACTTTCATTATATAAGTGACTCAGAGCTTCTTTTCCAGCCTGTATTTTTGTTAATGATGAAACAAGCAACTGATGAACTCTTCGGAGATCATTAAGGTCACTCACAACTCCACTTGCTATCCAGGCACTGCAAACCTGGTTTTTAAGAAAATCAAGTTACATTTAAAAATTATAAATACCTCCCCTGTAAGTTCAGCAGAGCTCACCCATATCTCAGGAATCTAGACAATGAAATCATCTTGCTATCAGGAAACCCAAAGGATGTGGCTGATAATGCCAGTCAAAAGCCAGCATTGTAAAAGGGAATGAAGTCTAAGGTTGAAGCAAGGAAACCAGTGCTGGTTAGTATATAAATCAGAGAGTTTCAGGTGTTATTAATATGGAGAAATGCAGCCACGAAAGGTACCACTTTAATAAATGTTTGGATTAACATTTGAATTAAATCTTCAATCTTGATTGGAGCGCCTGGGTGGCTCAGTTGGTTGAACGTCCAACTTCAGCCTGGGTCATGATCTCGTGATTCATGGTTTGAGCCCCACATCTGCGCTCTCTATGCAGAGCCTGCTTGGGATCCTCTGTTCCTCTCTCTCTTCCTCTGCCCCTCCCCTGCTCACTCTCTCTCTCTCAAAAATAAATAAAACATTAAAAAAAAATTCAATCTTGATTATTTCTTCTTACTCTTTTAAAAGCAGAGATTGTGTGGTTAATTAATATAACTGCTGAAAGATAAAGAACTTAACATTTAAAACCCCAATGAAAATTTTGGTTATTTTGAAAATGAGATACTAAAAATGTTTTAAAACAAAACATCATTAATAATTCTCCCATGAAAACAATTTGCTCAATTATCAGAGGTTTTCCTGGATCACGATATTTTTCTTTTTCTAGAAAAAACTAATTTTTCCTCTTCCATCTATTTATTTACTTCCTGTCTCATTTAACAAAAAAATTTAATGACTTATAGAAAGAATACAAACAATGAAGTGATAATAGAGACCTCATACAACATTTAATACAGTTCCCTGAATATTCAAGGTACTAAAATACAAGTGAATTAGGGGCGCCTGGGTGGCGCAGTCGGTTAAGCGTCCGACTTCAGCCAGGTCACGATCTCGCGGTCCGTGAGTTCGAGCCCCGCGTCAAGCTCTGGGCTGATGGCTCAGAGCCTGGAGCCTGTTTCCGATTCTGTGTCTCCCTCTCTCTCTGCCCCTCCCCCGTTCATGCTCTGTCTCTCTCTGTCCCAAAAATAAAATAAATGTTAAAATACAAGTGAATTCAAGTTAATAAAAGAAAGTTGAAAGAATGGACTAAAGTTAGTGTATTCCATTATGTTTAGAAATAATTCAAGTCACTTCTGCTTTAGGGCTGGATATTGAAAGTCTGACAATCACTCCCAGAAAAGTAACTTTAAAACTGTAGATTATAATGGCTCTTAGATACATGAAAAAATGTTCGATCTCACTTGAAATAAAAATCTAAAGTATTCTAAGATACCCTGTGCTAAGAGAGGTTTTTACTTTTTAAGTTCTGTCTTTTTAACCATTTACCTGACATGCTTTGGCAGTGACATCAGGTGGTGTCTCTGAGGCGAAGGCTGGCCTAAGTGCCGCTCCTACCTGGCAACAAATGATAGGAAATACCAAGCATCAATAAGTAAGACAGCGCAAACTCTTCATCTCTTTAATATTTTTAAATTGTTTACAATAGGTATTCTGGACACCTGTTTCTTTCTGCCTGTCCACTATATCTGTTTTTAGATAAAAGCACCTCAATTTTCCTTTGAGGAACCTTCTCTTATCTCCTGTTGTTGCTATGGAGATGAGAGCACTGGTGACTCCAGGGATCCAACCGGGGGTAATGAAAGCTCTCCTTGAAGACGTTTGCTGGGAATACTGGGACAGAAGCATGGTCTCTTTTTAAGACGGGGTACGTGGAGCACCTGGACGGCTCAGTCGGTTAAGCATCTGACTCTTGGTTTCAGCTCAGGTCGTGGAGCCCTGAGTCAGGCTATGTGCTGGCAGTGCAGGGCCTACTTGGGATTGTCTCCTTCTCTTTCTGCCCCTCCCCCATCTGCACTCTGACTCTCTCAAAATAAATAAATTTAAGAAAAAAAAAAAAGACTGGGTGCTAAGAGCCATTTTGATACAACTTGGAGAGAGCAAACTTGAGAATAAAGCTGGTGTAGAAGACAACAGAGCCAACTGCGATTCTTGAAAATAATTTTCCTCTTCAGTTTAAGTGAGCTATAATTATATTTCTATCATTGCAATTTTTTAAAACAAGCTCTATGCCCAACATGGGGCTCGAACTCATGACCCTGAGATTGAGAGTCCCATGCTCTACCCATTGAGCCGGCCAGGTGCCACTCATTTGCAATTTTAAGAGGGCTAAGAATATAACAGAGCTCCCCTTACAGTGAATTGTAATATTTCATTCTAATATGACAGTTCTATATAACTCGAGTCCCTTCCTTTTGCTTTCTCCTGGAACATACATGGGCATTTCCTGCTAGGAAGATGTGATGGAGACAGCTAGTCAACTGGTAAACTGTTCCTGGCTCCCTAAATGCTAACCCACAAAAGCTGCCTCTGAATCATGAGAGGTAGGAAAGGATAAATGTTGCTGGAGGATTACATGTAATGTGTGTGATAGAACACTCATCTATTCCAGGAGTGACAAGCATGTAGCCTAAATGGAATATTATTAATGATTTAACATATCTTAGGAATATTCAGGTATTTTGTAAAGAATTTAATTAGCAGAGTACTTTATTCCCCCACATTACCTAGCAGGTTTTGACTATTGACCTTTACTGTTATAAAAGACCTGTTTATATACCACTTTGCTTTTACTTCAGAGATTTCTTCTTCAAACATACACATTTTCTATATGCTGATTATATATTGGTGACATATTAGCAGAGACATATACTCATTATGTAAAAAAAAAGTAGTAAATACTTTCACAGACTTTTTATCCAAGGTGTTAAAAAATAAAATTCTCTAACAGAAAGTGCTTACATTGGCTTGATACTGTTCCAGGATCACATGACCTGGAAACTCTGGTTCTGGAATAGCTGCAAATCGCCGAATAACAACTAACAGTGTTTCAAGGCCAGAAAGACGGAGCTGGTCACTATGATCTGTGGCAGCCATAAAGGCCATGCGAATTAAGTCGGCAAGATGTAGCACCAAAAAGTCATCTACAAGATTAAAAAAGTCTTATCAAGAAAAAGCATATGCTGGAACTAAGATTTATGTTAAATAATCATTTCTTCTCCCTTTGATTTCACAGATGTTTCTAGACTTTCTTTTAAATACCTCTGATTTGATTTACTGTTTTGTTTTACTGTTTGTTAAACATAGACTTTAAAGATGGAGTTACTAGGCTCCTGCAAACAATCACAGCAAGAAACTCCCAAAGCAAACAATTACACAGCTATTCAAAAACCAAAGGCAAAATTAGCATCCTTTAAAAGAGTATTAGTAGTACTATCAATAAAAACTTTGTTCGGACTTTTCAATAAAAGCATTTTAGAAGATATTTAGGAAACTTTGGGTGTTGACGAATTAGGCAGCTAATTTTTCTCTTTGTGCCAAGTTGAAGCTAAAAGACTTAACATTTCTTTTGAAAAACAGTTTTATATGGTTCTTTATTTGGACTAGATTATCTTATTTTTCTATGTCTTGGCACACATACAAATAACAGGAATATTAAAAAATATTTGTAGCTATAAAATTATAAATGAGAATTCCTTTCATTCCTACAGTACGTTCTTCGGTATAATAATTCTACAGGACACAGGACAATCCTTTAATAATATTCCAACAATAAAATGTTCAGGGGTACAACTAAATTCTACCTAAAATATATCTGGGACTAATTTTAAGAATGTTATGGGTCACGATAAAGAAACCAACTCGTCTTAGCAAGTGCCAATTACAATTTTAATTGGGAACAAAGGAATTACTAAGCATCTCTGATATACTAATTTTATACCTATTGGTCTAGCATGGTGCTTATCACTCAATAAATGCTTGCTTGAAAAATCATTAAAACACAGATACCTAATTCGTACTCCCACACTGACAATAGCAACATTTTGCTATATAATTCTTTTGTCTGGTAAAAAATATATCCATGGCTTTTAGATATGTGCACTGTGTCTTTGAACATAATGTGCTTAAGTGAATTTTGAAAATTAGACATCAAACCATAATACACACACAGATCCCTTTAGGTACAGACAATAAAACTGAACAAAAAAAGGGGGAAATGATCTTGCAAGCAGGTTTACTTTACAATGTGATACGCTCAAATGTTTTCTGGGTAATATTTATGAAACCAAAATAATCTATAAGCAAAATTACTATAGGTTATAATTCAGAAAATAAATTTTCGGAGCTAGCTAATAGTGCCAAACTACTTTCCAAGAACATGATTATAAACTTAACTCATGCACATGCCCATTAAACATAAGTAAATGACTATTTAAGAAACTTAATCATTAAAAATGTGTTTAAACATTAGAACTCTGCTTAACTTTTAGCTTATATAAATATTATAGTCAGTTTCATAACTGATTTGGAACAATACAAACTCTTTCTAGTTTTACTTCTTAAATTAATATTAAAAACATAGGCAGACAACATTTTTATGTATATGCTTTGGTCTCTTCATTATTATGTCACTTACTTCTTGAATCCCTTTTTTTCATTTCTTGTGCTAAAGCAATGTCAAAATGTGCGCTGTGTGCATTCTCACACTGGTTAATTATCCTACAGACACATTCGGCAGCAAAGACTCTAGTGGCCCATCGGGGATTGGTAAAGGGATAGGATTTGTCATCATTTCTGGTGGTCAGAACTGAGGCATCATCCCCTTTATCTCCTTCCTCTTCTTGCATTGTATCCACACAAGTTACAGTTGTAAAATCTTTTATCAAGGGAGAATACATGTAATTACAATCAAATGGAAGACATATTTATGACTTCAAATTGAGACTAGAATTGTTGCTTATACATCTTCAACAGTGTAATATAATCATATCTAGTAACTACAGACAGCAGTGATATCCAAAGAAATGCTGTAAGAACTGTTCCAGGTCAAAATGACAAAGTTGTTCTAATTATATTGAAAGTTAACAAACTAAACATGATACTACAGACATGATACTAAATACTAGGATAATCATCAGTCCCCTGTATGTAGACAGTTATGCTTAAGGAGGCTCAAAATTCTCTCGTATCCAGAGTATGAGGGATTGCACTAGGGAGACTGTTTTAACACTAGGGCCTTGAACAGATTTAAGAAGGTTCCTGAACCTACTAAACACGTCTGAAAATATTTTTCTTAAGATAGGCTCATTTCTGTCATTTATAGTCTCATATTTTCCCAATGGCCTGAGCAGTGAGGAATGAATTATTTCTTTCTTATATTAACTGTTAACTTATTAACTCTGTTTAACTCAACTTCAAATTGAACTAGGCTATAAAAGAGACCAACCTTTTTTCCCTTAAAATATCTTCTTTTAAACTTTTTTTACTTTTTGGGGCGCTTGCGTGGCTCACTTGGTTAAGTGTCTGACTTCAGCTCAGGTCATGATGTCATGGTTCGTGGGTTCAAACCCCGTGTCGGGCTGACAGCTCGGAGCCTAGAGACTACTTTGAATTCCGTGTCTCCTTCTCTCGCTTTCTGCCCTTCCCCCACTTGTGCCTGTCTCTCAAAAATAAATGTTAAAAAAAATTTTTTTTAATAAATTGTTTTTATTTTTTGAGAAAGAGTGCACATGCAAGCAGGAAAGGGACAGTGGGAGACAGAGGGAGAGAATCTTAAGCAGGCTCCACACTCAACATAGAGCCTGACAAGGGGCTTGATCTCCTGACTGTGAGATCATGACCTGAGCCGAAATCAAGGGTCAGATGCTTAACCGATTAAGCCACCCAGGGCCCCTTAAATTATCTTGTATGTCAACATTTCTTGAGTGTGTTATGAAAGCAAAGATGTCACAAAATTATAGCAAAGTCCTGTCTTAAGACTAAGGTAATAAGTCAACAGACTGAAATGTGTGTTTTCATTTTTTGTTAAAAAATTTTTTTTAATGTTTATTTTTGAGACAGAGACAGCACACAAGTGAGGGAGGGGCAGAGAGAGAGGGAGACACAGAATCTGAAGCAGGCTCCATGCTCCTAACCATCAGCACCTAACCTGATATGGCGCATGAACCCATGAACTGTGAGATCATGATCTGAGCCGAAGTCAGATGCCCAATCTACGGAACCACCCAGTCGCCCTATGTGTTTTCTTAATAAGAAAGGATAAAGCCAAACTACAAAGGATAAAGAACAAATGGTAAAAGAAAACTGAGCACAAAGCTCTGGGAGGTACCAGAAATAGGTGAGATACCAGAAAAGTGTAATCAACCTGTTTATCTACGCACATACAGATTTTCCAAAGGAGAAGTTCTTGTAAGTTCTCAAGTGGTGGGATAGAAGACAGCCTCAACAAAGGAAAACATATAAAGCATAGTAACTGAAAGAACAGATATAAATCAATGGAAGAGAAGAGGAGCAATAAGAATCAAGGGAGACAGTGGAGAATGTAAAACAAAGTTTTAAAAATGATGCCTTTCTTCCTTTAACAAAATTCAGATAATACATTAAATTATAAAGCTTGAGTAACTGAGTTTAAGAGCTACTGAAATATAGTAGGAAGCTGAATTTTACTATTATTTTTTAAAACTTTTTATTTAAATTCTAGTTTAACATATAGTGTAACATTGGTTTCAGGAGGAGAATTCAGGGATTCATCACTTACACACGACACTCAGTACTCCTCACAGGTGCATTCCTTACTACCCATCACCCACCTAGCCCATCTCCCCCACACCTCCCTCCATTAATCCTCAGTTTGTTCTCCATAGTTAAGAGTCTCATGGTTTATTTCCCTCTTTTTGTTCCTTAAATTCCACATATGACTGAAATCATAAGGTACTGGTCTTTCTCTGACTGACTTATTTCACTTAGTTTAACAGTCTAGTTCCATCCATGTCACCGCAAATGGCAAGATTTCATTTTTTTTTTTTTTTTTTGAGACAGAGAGAGCATGAGTGGGGGAGGGGCAGAAACAGAGGGAGAGAAGGAGAATCCCAAGCAGGTTTCGCATTGTCGCCGAGCCTGACAGGCAGGCTCAACTCATAATGAGATATGACTGAGCAAGCAAAATCAAAAGTTAGACACTTAGCTGACTGAGCCACCCATGCTGCCCCAAGATTTCATTCTTTTTGATGGCTGAGTAATATTCCACTGTATACATACACCACATCTTTTTTATCCATTCATGGATACTTGGGCTCTTTCCATAATTTGGCTATTGTTGATAGTGCTGCTATAAACATTGGGGTGCATGTGCCCCTTTGAACCAGTATTTTTCTATCTTTTGGATAAATACCTATTAGTGCAATTGCTGGATGGTAGGACAGCTCTATTTTTAATTTTCTGAGGAATCTCCATACTGTTTTCCAGAGTGACTGTATCAGTTTGCATTCCCACCAACAGTGTAAGAGGGTTCCCCCTTTCTCTGCATCCTTGCCAACATCGGTTGTTTCCTGTGGTGTTAATTTTAGCCCTTCTGACAGGCGTGAGGTGGTATTTCAACATAGTTTTGATTTGTATTTCCCTGAGGATGAGTGACGTTGAGCATCTTTTCATGTGTCTGTAAGCCCTCTGTATGTCTTCTTGGAAAAATGTCTATTCATGTTTTCTGCCCTTTTTTTTCACTGGATTATTTGTTTTTTGGGTCGTGAGTTTTAAAAGCTCTTATAGATTTTGGATACTAATCCTTTATCAGATATGTCATTTGCAAATATCTCTCATTCCATAGGTTGCCTTTTAGTTTTGTTGATTGTTCCCTTGGCTGTGCAGAAGTTTTTGTCTTGATGAGGTCCCAATAGTTCATTTTGCTTTTGTTTAGGAAGGTTTCTGAGAGCAGAGCATAAGTAGAAGCAGAAAGAGAGGGAGACAAAGAATCCAAAGCAGGCTCCAGGCTCTGAGCTGTGAGCACAGAGCCCAATGTGGGGCTCGAACCCACAAACTGTGAGATCATGACCTCAGCCAAAGTCAGATGCTTAACCCAGTGAGCCACCCAGGTGCCCCATGGAAAGCTGGATTTTAAAGTCATGCAGGGTAAAGTCTGAATCTACCTGTGTATGTCTTTGGACATATTCCCTAACCTTTCCAAACCTTGTTTTCTCTTGTGCAAAATGGAATATTAACTGCCTGCTCACTGGATGGTTAAAGGATTAAATCAGATAAAGTATGTACAGTACCTGGAACAGAACTGATTTGTCTCTTTTCTTCCTTTCATTTATTTTCTCTCTTACTCCAAAGATATAAATTTGAAAGACTCTAATACACATTCTCACTAACCATTATCTTATACTCACAAATACATTAGTTAAATAACACTTTTTTAACCCTGTTTGAAATCAACATTATTAAGTATAGAGAAACTTGCTTGCTCAGAATGTTGTAACTTTTGATGATTTTTCTACTAAGTTGATTTGATGCAATCCCTCAACTATTATATGCATGAAAACAAACGATGGGGCTACTGTAAGTCAGGTCATCCATTTTATAGTACAAATAACCCTACTTTTTAGTTTGTTTTAGACAGGGAAGTCATAAATGACAATCAGAAGAATACTAAAACCCACAGGCCTAAGTGTTAGACTTAAACACTAGAATTTTCACTTGAAAAATGCAACAAGCAATTACAATCCAAATACTTAGACAAAATTGTCAGTGGCAAACAATTTTATAGAACATTTTCACTTTCAATTTTATTTCAACTGGTAACCACCAATACTCACCAGCGGATGCAGCAAGTACATCTTTACAAAGCTTTAACCAGAAGGAGAGCTTATCCACTGCCATAGACGTAAGCATATGATTTAAAGTCTCTTTGATATCATTGCATAACTTCTGATCTGTCTCTTTGTCTAGTAAGGTCAATAATGCCCCTTCAAGGCCCACTTCTCTGATGTTAGCATCTGACAAGAAGAAAATCGATGATCTAAGTAATACAGAAAACAAAACTGCCATATGAGAAGTACACACATTCTGGAGTTATTAAAATACTACATGCAAATATTCTCACTGCAAAGTAATAAAGCACCTCAAAGGAGAAACATAAGCCCCGTCTAGCATCCATTTCCTCTAATTCTGGAAATGCCAAAAGAATAAATTTTCTCTTGAAGATTTAACTTATCTAGCATGTATTTATTTATTTATGTATTTATTTATTTGTTTTTCATTTATTTATTTTACAGTTGAGAGAGGGAGAGAAGAATCCCAAGCAGGATCTGTGCTGACTGACATGGGGCTCAATTCCATGAACTGTGAGATCATGACCTGAACTGAAATCAAGAGTCAGACGCTTGACCAACTGAGCCACCCAGGCAACCTGAACTTATCTAGAATTTATGAAAGCATTTAGATTCTAAAGATAATGCTACTATTATACTATTTTGTAAGAGAAATTATCTTTTAAAGACTAGAAGGAGACATCAGAGGAATAAAAGGTATAGCATAGGGAATATAAGTCAGTGGTACTATAGTAGTGTGGTATGGTGACAGATGGTAGCTACACTTGTGAACATAGCATAATGTTTATTTAAACTTGTGGAAACACGATGCTGTACATTTGAAACAAATTAACACTGTGTGTCAACTATACTTCAGTAGGAATCAGTAGGAATGTTTCAGATTAGGAGTCTAAAGACACAGAACAAACAACGTAATATGTGAATCATGGCTGGATCCTAAATTTGGGTGGTGGTAAGGGAGGGTAGTAAGGAGTCATAAAGAACATTTTTTGGATAACTGCATATTCTATGATGGCTACTTTATCAGTGTTAATTTTATTAAGTGCAGAAATGATGTGTGGTCATGAAGGAAAATGTATGTATTAGGAGTGAGCTGTCATGATGTCTGCAGTCTGCTTTCAGACGGTCTGGCAAAAGATATGCATCTGTGTAAGTATGGAAAGAGAGAAAGTTATATAAAATGAATGCCATAAAGATGCTAAGTAGGTGAATATATGTGTTCACTGCACATTTCTTTGAACTTTTTCCATTTGAAAAATCACAAAATTTAAAAAAAAAATTTTTTTTTTTACGTTTATTTATTTTTGAGACAGAGACAGAGCACGAACGGGGGAGGGTCAGAGAGAGGGAGATACAGAATCCGAAACAGGCTCCAGGCTCTGAGCTGTCAGCACAGAGCCCGACGCGGGGCTCAAACTCGCAGACCGCGAAATCATGACCCGAGCTGAAGTCGACTGCTTAACTGACTGAGCCACCCAGGCGCCCCCAAATCACAAAATTTTAAAAAGGAAATATATAATGAGTTCTTTACTGTATTTTACTCCTATAGCTAAGTCAAGAATTCTAGGAACATATACAAGCATATTTATGCAATAAAAGCCTAAAGCAAAAGATGCAGATAATTTCAGTGGTAAATATAAACTGAAGGTCACTTAGGCAGAATATCTCACATGGTTAGAAGATTAAAATTTCTCTGGTTAAGGTAAGTAACCAACTGTTTTCAAATGAGGTCTGCCACCTGTTTGGGTGGCTACCATACTAGTTCAGCAACGCTGATGAACTCAAGTCAAACAGTTAAAGTCTTAGTCTAACAACAAACTAAGGAGCACAGCATGACAGTAAAACACACTGATCTGAGAGCTTTAGATATTGGAAAGCTTTGTGAAGCCTGAGACTTTCTCAAAGTGTGACAGCACTCTGGAAACTATATACATAAAAGAGTAAGATATTACCATTACTATTTTTGGAGGTTGTATGAATTTATATGTATATTTGGGTTACTCACATAATTTTAAAATAAAGACATACAGACTTAAATCTAACCAACTAAGAAATCCTTTAATTCAGTTCTAAAATAAAGAAGGGGCTAAAAACCCTTCCACCTAAAGATGACTTATCTATGATAAATTTTATTAAATGAGATTTTGGAGGAAGAAAGGCACATATGGTAAATTACTTAAGGGCTAAATCCAACTTCGATGGATTTTTGTGAAAAAACTTGCTCTAAAATTTGAGTGGCTCTCAAATTTCAATATGCATTAACAGGGATTGCAAAAACATAGAAAACAGATTGCTGGGCTTTACTCCCAGATTTTTGGTTAAGCAGATTTTGGATGGGGCCCGATAATTTGCATTTCTAACAAGTTGTTGGTGAGGTGGATATTGCTAGTTTGGGGACCTAAGTTTGAAAACAATTTTTCTAAACCAGTAACATCACTGGTTGGGAATGGCAGTAATTGTTAGTAACTGTCTCTTGTAGCAGGTTTAAGACATTATATATTAACTTTTAAATTTCATTTTAAAAATTCATGTTTAAATGAAGACTTAAAATTAAAACAATCATTTGAGGTACGCCTGGGTGACTCTGTTGGTTGAGCGTTCAGCTATGGCTCAGGTCATGATCTCATGGTTCATGACCTTGAACCCAGTGTTGGGCTTGCTGGTCAGTGCAGAGCCTAGTTCAGATCCTCTGTCCACCCCCCCCCCCCCCGCCCCGCCCGACTTCTCTCTGTGCACCATCCACCCCCTGCTTGTGCTCTCTCTCTCAAAAATAAATAAACACTAAAAAAAATTATCTGGGGTGCCTGGGGGGCTCAGTCAGTTGAGTGTCTGACTCTTGAGCACCTGACTCTTGATTTCGGCTCAGGTTGTTATCTTCCAGTTTGTGAAATTGAGCCTCATGTAGGGCTCTGTGTTGGTGTGGGGCCTGCTTCTCATTCTCTCTTTCCCTCTCTCTCTGCCCCTTCCCCACTCAGGAGCCCTCTCTCTCAAAATAAATAAAAGAACTTAAAAATTTTATTAAAAAAATCATTTGAGCTGGAGATAATGTTGACAAAAAGAATTACCTAGAGTCAACTCTTCTCTGCTATCCTTAGCAAGCATAACAGCATGTTCTGAAACTTCAGCTGCTTCTCTCTGTACAAGCTGACGTAAACAAGCCAGTACTGCTCTTCTCAGTAACAAATAGGGACTACAAAGATTCACCTGAAAAATACCAATTGGGAAATGAAAGAGCTGAAATTCTTGGTGGCATTCATAATAAGTCTAATAGACATACACTGGATCCCTCCTGATTCTGTACAGCTCATCACTAGGCTAGATTCAATTTGTTAAATACACAGAAACTTCTACAAACTATTCTAGTACATATTTTTTATTACAATTTAGAAATAAATAGCTTAAGGAGTAATACATGTACTTGATTATGAAATATTCATAAACACATCCAAGCAGAAGCCTCTGGACAGTGTTAGAAGACACAAAATTTACATGAATAAAACACTTTTGAGATAAAAGAAATACAACTGAGAAAGACTTTATTTGTAGCTTATACAATTGTGCTCATGCAACAATATTATAATGTTTTACCATCCTCTAAGTAGAAATTTATATAGATCCATATAAGCAATATAACATACTGGTTAAAAGGGAGGCTCTGGAGTCAAACTGCCTCACTTTGAGTCCTAGATCCACCATTTACTAGCTGTGTGACCTTGGGCAAATTATTTAACCTCTCCGTGCCTTAGTTTCCTTATTTGTAAAATGGAAATAACACTACCCCCATCTTATAGGGCTGTTGCAACGTTAATTCAGAGAAACATGCAAAAGGGCTTAGCATAGTTTCTGGCACAAAGTGCTCAATAAATGTTAGTTATTAACTATTATTAACAGTCTATCACTAGTCTTTTATTCAGATGCCAGAGTAAGTAAATGCATTTTCAAATAAAGACAGAAAAGAGTTTTACTCAGAAAACATATTCACCAAAAACACTCTCTAGAGACACACATTACAGACAACAGGGTTTTATATGTATGTATATCTACTTGTATATAATGGATATACATGTATGTACATAGATGCTACATATCAGAGATAAAGAATATTTCTGCTAGAATGACAGACTCCTTCCACATATTTTTCTTAGAAGTGTTTGAACAATGTAAATCTCAATAGATTGTGTCTACTGAAGGTAAATGGTAGGACTGCGATATACCTTAAATGAACAATTAAAAAAGCCAAAAGTTTCTGGATACAAATTTTTTCTAAGTGATTCATAAGTAGAATAAAGTCGAGTTTTTGCAATTTATTTTTTTCTAACAATGAAAGCAAAGACCAGTAAAAGTGTGGCTTATGTCAATGAATATGTGTCTTATGCTATTGATTTTCCAAGCAAATTTGAGAAAGAAGGGCATACTTGGTATAGTGATCTTTATTTAGATATGGTGTATGTGAGAAAAAAACAGAACTGAAGTAGGTGAGTTTGTTGGAAAGAGCAGAGGATAAATTCTGAGAAAAAGAGTAGGTGGTGACAGCTGGTTTTTAACACATAAAAAAAAAAAAAAAAAAAAAAAAAAAAAAAAACGCAAAGAGAGTGAAACTAAATTTTATCAGAAGCCAAAGACAGAACAGGTTTGTGAATATATCATCAGTGAAACATATGGATGGGAACTGCTTCATAAATATATTTTATTATACCCTCGAGACATATCATGAACTGAAAAGTCGAAAGAGGAATGCCATTCACAAAGTCTAAAGTTAATATTCCAATCATGTTAAAGAACCACTGTTAGAAACTAGTACATAGGACAACAAGGGAGTTAAAATGTAAAAAGATTAAGTTTATTCATGCCCAAGATTATGGCTGTATTTTACAACAAAAACAAAAAAGCATTCTACAAGGCTATTTTAAAGAAAAGTTAATGAATCTACTAGTTATCTCACTGGAGTTTTACAAACATATAATACAAGGCAGGTGCAGCATTTATTCAGGCTGGTCAAACAATCTTTTAGAGACAGCATGCTTATAAAAGTACTCTTTACTTGTTTGGTAGAAAAAAAATTGAAGGCAGTCACACAAAGCAAAACGGAACATTTAATATCTCCACGTCATTCTCCAGCATTTATATTGGGAAGAGGAACAGAGTGAATTAAGGCAAACAAACCAAGCAGGCAAAATACAGAAATTAGGTCAAACTGTAATTATAATTCCTTTCTGAAATGAATATATTAAATCAAAATGATGCAAAATTAAGTGCAAGGAGTGAGTGCACTGGCTGGAGAAGGTTAGGGAGGATTTGTTTACACTGGTATTAAATAATCACCATGTAACATGCTACACATACTGGACTTTGCATTAATGGTTAGCTTAAACAAAGAGATGCAGGGGAAAACAAGAACATCTACAACCAAAATAACGACACAAAGAAACAGCACTGCAAACCTCAAAAAAAAGTTAGGAATTGAGGGTGAGGGACCTACCAACACAGAATTATCCAACAAGATCTCCTGCACAAAAACAAACGACAGACTGGTCATGACAAAACCAAAAGATAAATACTAGGATGATTTTGACAACAGTCAGCTAAGCATTAAAATATAAATGTTGATAGAGCTATCATTCAAACTGGCTTAGCTTCGACTTTAAAACTATGCCATGAATATTTCATTTTCCAACTTAAAATAGGAGTTGAACTAAGATCTTGGAAACAGTCAACTCAAGATGTAAAGATATAAAATATACAATAACTTAAAAATGTACATTTATGTAATTAGATTTTCCTTTGGAAACTCTCATTAAGCCTCAGTAACAAAGCCAGATCAAATAGACATGAGTGTTAAAAGAGTGATCTAGAGTGCATTCAAATGAACAGGTGTCCAGCAATGGACAAAGTTAATGGTTTACTTCATCACAAGTTAATTATAAATTTTTTACTCTTGGAAGCCAACTTTTAAAACTTAGAATACTCAGAATTGCTAGTGTAGCTAAGACCAAGTTCAGAATGGAAGTTAAACAGCATGCAGTTAGAAGAAAACCCTTTCAGTAAGATTCTTTCCTAATGATGAAATATATTCTGAATCTTCAGGGAGTTTCAATTAAAATGAAAACACTTCATGCTAAATAATTAAATTCTTTATAGAAAAGAAAATCTGATTATAAAGTTGTTAAACAGGAAAGCAAAAGCAATTTTCGTACTATAGGAAATACTCTAAAATATAATAAATTCAATCTAATAAATTTAGAATAAAAGCTTACTAAAAAATTAAGACATGAAATTAACAAACTATAGTGATAGCAATTTTTGAATGACTTCTGAATAAGAAAAAATCATTTTACTGCTTAAATATTATGAGTAACATAAATAATATTTGTTAATTGTTAATTTTGATTTTCACAACTGCTCTTAATATTCCAAGAGAAACATCCAATAGTAATCTCTATTCTTTATATGTAAACTTTCTCAGTCTGGGAAAAAAAAGAGTAACAAATTTAATCAGTTCTAATTCACTAAGAATTAGTAAGTTTTCCTCTTTATTTCTCAATAAATATAATGGAGAGTGAAAGTCTGACCAACTTGCAAAGGAATAGCTATTTTTCAACAATTGGTTTTGGGGATGGTTCTTTGAATTAGAGAATAATATTCCTAGGGAAAAGTCATTGAGTAGTAAAGGTGTAAAAAAAAACCCTTTTCCAGTAAGTGCTATTTTCTCTAATATGTGTTTAACCGAGAGAGGAACCAAGTTTCTATCAGAAAAGTCAGTCACATCCTTTTTTTAAGAGTCTTACATAACTTTGACCATAAAAATCACTATGAACATTAACATAATGTCTAAGTTATATGTTAGAAAATAAAAAGTACTACATATTGAGTGGTTATTAAGTGCCTAGGACATGTGCCTTAATGGGTGGTATCTCGTGTAATGTTTGTTTTATAGACAAGATAGCTGAGGCTGGAAGAGGTTATGGGACTTCTCTAAGGCCACAAAGCTAGGAGGTGGTAGAGATGAGGTTAAGAGCTAATCAAAACTACAAAGTCAGTAAGAAATAAAGAAATGGGAACTTGACAAGGAGTTCAGAAACTGGATTCTAGGGGCGCCTGGGTGGCTCAGTCGGCTGAGCGTCCGGCTTGGGCTCAGGTCATGATCTTGCGGTCCGTGAGTTCGAGCCCTTCATTGGGCTCTGTGTTGACAGCTTGGAGCCTGAAGCCTGCTTCAGA